GCCAGCAATGTAAGGACTAAAGGAATTGCTGTAAAAAGAAGAAATAGGAAGGGAAGAAGAAACAGGCATAATGAATAAAAATGGACACAAACAAGTACCAATCCATAATAACCTTAAACATAAATGGATTAAATGCTTCAATCAGAAGGCATAGAGTAGCTGAATGGAGTAGAAATCAAGACCCATATATGTGCTATCTCCAAGAGCTCTACCACAGAACAAAGGACTCACACAGACTGAAAGTGAAGGGATGAAAAAAATGTTTTCAGGAAAATGGAAATGAAAAAAAAAGTTGGGGTAGCAATACTTATATCTGACAAAATTGACCTTAAAGTGAAGGCCATAGCAAGAGATAAAGATCACTTCATAATACTAAAGGGATTGATTCAACAAGAGGATATAACCCTGGTAAACATATATGCCTCCTATATAGGAGCACACAAATACATAAAAAAACCCCACAAACTTCTGGAACATATCAAGGGAGAGACTGACAGCAATACAATCATATTAGGGGACTTTAATACCCCATTGACATCACTAGATAAATCTTCTAGACCAAAAATCAGCAAAGAAACATCAATCCTAAATAATTCACTAGATCAGATAGAATTAACTGACATCTTCAGAACATTTCACCCCAAAGCTACAGAATATACATTCTTCTCAAGTGCACATGGGACTTTTTCAAAGATAGGCCACATATTTGGTCATAGGCAAAGTCTCTCCAAATTTAAGATGGTTGAAATCACACCAAGCATCTTCTCAGATCACAATTGTATTAAAAAACAAAACAAAACAAAGCAAAACAAACACATTGAGGTTAAATAGCATGCTAGTAAACAATGAATGGGTTACCAAAGAGATCAAAGAAGAAATAAAAAAAAATGTTCTGGAAAAAAATGAAAACACAATAAAAAATCTATGGGACACAATGAAACCAGAGTGCAGTATACATAGAGAAATAAATTGAGATATCAAAGCTAGAAAAGTAATTTAACATGAAACTAAAGGACTTACATTTTATTCTGGAGACAGCAAGTAGCCACTGAAAGTATAAAAATTGACTTGGAAAGGCAAATGAAACAGCATAGGGAAACCAGCCAGGAAGACAGAGTACCAACCAGGTATGATGGAATTGGTGCCTGACTGTAGGAATGACAAGATATTACAGAGGTCGACATGACTTGGAAATTGAATGAATGTGGTATGTTAGAGGAAGGATTAGAGCATTACTGAAGTTTTTAGTCTTTATGGTTAGGAGGAAGTAATGTGATGAACTTACATAAAAGTTATAGGAGTTGTTGACAGGAAAAAGATGAGATATTTTGGTAATTTTTAAAAAGAATTTGTTTTCATTACCATATTAAAAAAAGTATGTATATTTCTCCCATTTGCTGAATGAGCCAGATTTCTGGAATGTTGTATACTATTGATGGCTCTTAATTTAATGTTTTCATCTTTGGGAAAAAGGTTGACTTACATAACTCAATATTTGCATATGCTTTGCATGTGTAACTCAAGTGGGGTGACTGCTCAAGTGTACCATAATGTAAATATTAGCTTAGAGTATAGGGTAGTAAAGTCAAATGATGGTTAGTTATTGCAGGTCATGATCTGATAGTGTGACCTTTAAGTCTTTCATGATCATTTTAATTGTTGGATGAATTAGATTTTAAAACTGTCAATGGGCTGTTATATTCTGCTTGTTCTTTGCATTTAGTTTGCCTGTCAATTGGACTTTAAGTATACTTATGCTTTAACACAGACAGATGGTGTCTGGATGATGCTGAAAATCTTTAGAGAATAAGGAAAAAATTATTACACTGTTAAGGAAAGTGTAAATTGAACAAAGGTTTATTTAAACACTAGAGGCCTGGTGCATGAAATTCATGCACTGGAGGGGGGGTCCCTCAGCCCGGCCTGTACCCTCTCACAGTCTGGGACCCCTTGGGGGTGTTCACCTGCTGGCTTGTGGCTGGATGGCCTTCTGCTGCTGCACAGCCTGCTGCTTGAGCTTCAGCAGCTGCTACACATGCACAGGCTGGGCCACCACAGTCTGTCCTGGGAAAACCATCAAGTGGGAGAGTCAAGCGAGCAGGCAGGCTCACCCTGAGTTCCTTGCCCTTCCCTGAGTCACTGAGTTGTTCAGACTGACTGCCTTCTACAGAGAATGGCACTGGGATCAGGCCTAAGCCATCAGTCGGACATCCCTCTTTCTGTCCAGGACCCCTCAGGGGATGTAGCAGTGTGCCAAGGAGAAGGCAGCCAGGGAGGAACCCGAATAGGGGCCAGGCACCCCACCGCTTGCACTCATCCCGTCTGCTGTGCCTGTTGCCATGCCTCGGTAGTGCTGCCACAGAGTCAGGAGAGGCTCCCGCTGTGACAACTGCACTCGCTAGCCTTGGGCCCAGCTTCTGGCTGAGTGGCGCTCCCCCTGTGGGTGCACACTGACCACCAGGGGGCAGTTCCTGTGTTGAGTGTCTGCCCCCTATTGGTCAGTGCACATCAGAGTGACCAGTCGTTCTGGTTGTTCTACCATAAAGGTTGCTTAGGCTTTTATAGATAGATAGATAGATAGATAGATAGATAGATAGATAGATAGATAGATAGATGATAGATAGATAGATAGAGTGGTAAAAGGAGGCACAGTTGGTTACTTATCCTCTAGAGTTTGATCAATTTGCTACTAAAACACTGAGTACATGAAAAATTTAAGTTTATAATTATTTTAATTTTGTGGTGAATGGGAGCCTTATATAGAAACCTATTTAGGTCATTGATGGTTGCTAATGTTGAACATGAAGTGAAGGTTTTAGGGGAAACATAAGCAGTGATTAATTTATTGTATGTTATGGGATATGGAATTATTATAGCAAAGCTGTATGATGGGTAAGGTAAAAAATGCATACACATCTAAGTAATTTTGGAAGACTAACTTAAAATAAACTTCTACTTTAAAAGGGGGTGCAGAAGGACATTTTGAATTCAGTGTTTACACAGTTTTGAAGCTTCTCTAATAAATTAATAATCACAGGAGAAATATTTCATAATTGAAAAGTTTGGTTTGGTAGATTGCCTCTGAAAAAAAGATTTATAGTTTTATAGATAGTTAGTCATAAGTTAAGTGATAGGGTAAACATTTAAAATACTTTTTTTTTAATATTCTTTGGGAACTTGGACCCATAGGGAGTACAGAGTATGCTCCCCTCTTATACTCCATGCAGAAATTAAGTTTCTAGCTATTTTTTAATCTTTGTGTAATTCTGATAACAGTGCATTTTGTGGCTATCTCTAGCAGAAATATTGATGACTGTTCTTATTTATTGAGATGCTCACATTAGTGTTGTATGATACCTGTCATATCTGAAAGTGTCTTTTTTTTTCATTGTGCTGCCCTTGAATTATTTTTGTTAGCTCAGCCATGATTTAATTCAGCCATGATTGGTTAACCTAGATGCACCTCAAATCAATTAACATTATTTCTCCCTTCTAGCCTCCTTTTTGTCCCAAATATGTGAGTTTTGAATGTTTGTCTGTATTACTGTTATTGTTGATTGAGGTATCAAATTTAGGGGGCCTCTGAATATACTTCCTATGGATTCATTGTTCTTCACTTGCTGTTGTGATATGGGAGGCAAAAAATTTAAGGGATAGCAAAGAGGGAAAAGGGATGTTATTAATAGTTGATTATTGCGTGTAAAACCAACATAAATATCGCCTATAATAGAATTTATATAATCTGTAATAGTTTAGAAAAATTATAGGCAAGGATGTTTTAGAACATCTGTTAAAGATTACTGGTTTCTGGGCTTCTGTCCAAAAGAATGCAAGATTACTGTCAAGGCAATAGTTTAAAATACATTGTAAAGTCCTATGGTTTCCTTACTGTAGTCATGTTAACATGCATTATGTTAAGCTAACTTTCCCTAGCCTCTGGTCAAAGGTGTTTCCTCACAAATCTCAAAGACATAAGCTGTAACTAGACAACTCTTTTAATGTGTTACGTTTTTCATTATGACACATCTGTGGCTACCACTAGTGTAAATGTGACTCATACTTGAGAAATATTCTTTTAAAAATTTAAAATGTATGAAATTATTTCACTTTGCATAAGGAAAAAAAAACAGAATTCTAGACACTGCTCAAAATATTTGAAATTTATATTAAACTGGAAAACAGGTTGACATTTGATAGGGAAATAATTTCTTATTGACAAAGGCTTCAAATTTGAGCTATAGGCATTCATATTAAAGATTTATAACTACAGGGTAGAACGTATTCCAAGTCTTAATTTCTTCAATAATTCTGAGTCTAGAAAATCTACATCCTGTCTTACCAGTACCACTATTATGCTTTGTAAAGAAAGTATTAAGCTAGAAACTATGAACACATGAATATATTATAATGATTTAAAAGGTAGTTGTTTCTTTTAGCTAGATAAGGAATGAGGCTTGGCTTAAAGATTTTTGTTTGTGTCTATGGGTAAACAGATTGCATCTTATAAGTACTTTGGGAGTGAGAGTAAGAACAAGAAATGTATGGCCTTAGCCTGTTTGGCTCAGGGGATAGGACTTTGGCCTGCAGACTGAAGGGTCCCAGGTTTGATTCCAGTCAAGGGCACATGCCCAGGTTGTGGGCTCAATCCCCAGTAGGGGGCTGCAGGTGGCAGCCAATCAATTATTCTCTTTCATTATTGATGTTTCTATCTCTCTCTCACTTTGCCTTCCTCTCTGAAATCAATAAAAATATATTTTAAAAAATAAGTAGTAGTATGTGAAATAGGTCGATTTTAAAATTGTAAACAATATTAAAGCTCATAAGTAATATTAATTACTCAAATAGATACTAGAATATAATAAAAGTTGATTTTTAAGAAATCCAATGAGATAAATTTATTTTTTTTCTTTACATCAATTTTGCATGTGATTTTGATGTAATTTCCCCTTGTCAAAATAATTTTACAAATGTAATAATTTAGCATGCACTGTCTCTTTTAGGGCTAGATCTGCCATTTATGATGATGCCTCATCCTCTACTTCCAGTCAGCTTACCTCCTGCATCAGTTGCCATGGCAATGAATCAGATGAACCATCTAAATACTATTGCCAACATGGCTGCTGCAGCTCAGATTCACAGCCCACTCTCTAGAGCTGGGGCCTCTGTTATAAAGGTAAGAATCATGATTTAGAAGAGGACAAAGGCATTAATTACATATACATTTTGATAAAATACTAGCAATACTACTGAATCTTCAGTAAAAACATAAAACTCATTAACTCAGTTGCTTAGCATATAGTATTGATAGGTTTGATTTATGATTAGGATTGCTGAGATGTTTGATTTTTTGTTTGTTTGTTGTTTTATTGTTGCTGTTTGTTTTCATTCCATGATCACAAATCTCACCTTTAATTCAGGATTCATTTCTTTCAATAATGAGCACAGTGTTTGGAAGGCCTGGCCAGACTAATACCAGAGAGAAAAGTATGCAAAAACAATTCACATTGATGGGGTGAAATAAAGTACACCCTATATATATATATTTGATATTTTAAAGGCAGTTGTGTGGTAGTACATACCATGCAGGCCTTGTAGTCAGACAAACTGGAGTTTCAGTTCTGATTCTGTCACTTAAGAGCTGAATGACCTTGTATAGACATTTAATCTGCCTAAAAATTTTCCTCAACTGCAAAAAAGAAAAGGTCATAGTACTAATTTATTCTTCTTATGTGATTGGCTGTCTGGAGATAATATGAGTAACATAAAAGCTAAAGCCCACCCAGCCTGGCTCAGTGGCTGTGGGGAGACCTATGAACCAGGAGGTTACGGTTCGGTTCCCAGTTAGGGCACATGCCTGGGTTGTGGGCTCAATCCCTAGTGTGGGGCATGCAAGAGGTGCCAGTCAATGTTTCTCTCTCATCATTGATGTTTCTGTCTCTCTCCCTAATCTCTGAAATCAATAAAAATATTTAAGTATATATATACATATGTTAAAAACTGAAACATTAAGCAAATATTTGTGATAATTTAGAGCACATCACCACAATGATAATACTGTTTTTCAAAATTTCATAACCCCCAGATAATGAAACAAATAACATCTCATAATCCCTCTTTCTGTCTCCTATTAATTTGGCACATGCCCTCTCTCCAAGTATCATGTAAACTAGCCTTTTTAATACATTTTTTCTTTATGTGAGGAGATAACATAAGGCTATATAAGAGCAAAGTTATAGTTAATCAGAGAAACCCATTGATTCTTTATTACATTATGTATTCCACTTTTAAATTTGTAAATGTCATATTGGGCAATATGGGAAATAGATAAATAAGACAGAGTACCCGACTTCCAGGAATCACAAACTAAATGTGAGACAACAACAAATACTCATGTAAATTGCACTA